ACCCACACCCACACCCACACCCACACCCACACCCACACCCTATCGAGAATAAACTTGTTTTCATTCTTTTTCTTTTTTGAGATAAATGATATCAAGTTTCGAAGACTATTCATAAAGTCTTTTGTCAAGAGTCATCTCAGATAAAACTATCTTTCACATCTTACTTATATTCTCAATCACACACTTAATAGTCAATATTGTAGAGGTTGACAGCACTTTTCTGTACACAAAATCGCTGATTCTTATCGAGCAACTGCATATCAACAAACAAAAAAAATTCAATTTTGAGATTTCGAATAGAAATATTAGACAATGATCATGTCACTATATCTTATTTCAATTCTGAACGACAAAAGATATTATGAAAACAATTCAAAAAATCGATTATGTTTGAGTCTCATCATATTTGCTTTATATTGGATTAATTGTGAATATGATAAGTCAACGATGTTTACGTGAGTAATAATGGGATTCTGATAGGTACGAATCATAGTTTCTGTATGCGCAAGAATACATGTTTGTTGCTGCCGTGTTTGTCGTCTGCATGCCAAAACGACTACGACTATGATCCATTTCAGAGTAAAATAGGTATGGGTCTTCAGTCGATCGCGACCGACATCCACACCCTCTAATAAAGATTTGCCGCATGAGTATCTATTGCAAAAATGGAACAGTCCAGCCTAGCTCACACTCTGAGCTGTGGGCTAGACCGAACCCAATCCATTCAGAGCTTCAAGAAGAGACTTGTCCACTAGTGTATCTTTATATAAGAAAGAAAAAGAACCAACACTTATATTTACAATACTATGGTATGTCCTAAGTGTGTCATAACATGCCACACCTTGAATGTTGAATTTCTCTACATATTTCTGAAATGCATAGTTTTGAATCTGCTACAAGTTTTTATTTTGATTAAATAGTCGATGAGGAAATGCATTTTCACTGATCCTATGTTATTCATCGGTTCAAAATTATACAATTATTAATCAAGTATTCATAGATTTTTTTTTTTTATCTTTCAGATATGATGTCTTTCAATTGAAGCATTACTTTTGATGAAGCAGCTTTAGCTGGCAAATCAACAAGAACTTCACGTTTGGCACTGTATTCTCCTTGATCGATTTCGATTCCTTGAACTTGTTCACGAATTTGTTCTCCATTGATAGGTAACCGATATAGAGTACCAACCAAAGTGAATATATCTTCAGGTCGCAAGTTTTCAGTTGTATTTTCTGAAGTTCTTTGATCTTGTATTGTTTTTTTGAATAATTCCATATCACTTATAAAATCAGCCATCATTTTCTCAAGATTGCTAATGACTTCAGTATTACGAGCACCTACACTCTATTTCAACTGTTCTTTATGAAGAAAATCTCGAATATAATCGGGAAAATCATCATTTATTGGAAGTATTGCATTTTGATGAAGAAATCGAGCTAGCTTTTTATAAACATCTTGAATCTTTCTTTCTTCTTCTTCTCTTAAATTATTAATATGTTGATCGATATCACTTAGAGACATTTCTTCATTTGATTTAATATAAGTACGATATGTATTACACTTGTAAGTGGGATGTTTATGTTGCTTTCAATGACAACCACATACTAAGCACAAACCTGAATAAATAGAAAGAGAATTCACATTAAACAAAGAAAGAATAGTATTGTATATATCACTCATAATCGTTAAGTATCTAACAAAATTTGAATCCGAAGTTATATCTCTATCTCTCTATTAATGTCTGATGTAAGAACAATGATTATCAAAAACTGTAGGGTGTGGGTGTGGGTGTAATTCTTTGCTTCATCTGCACCCCTACCATCCACACCTACCCCACCCACACACCCACACCCACACCCTAATATTGATTAACAATCAATATTGTTTCATTCTTCGATATAATTTTATTTTATTTTTTTCTTTTTAATATTGATTGTTTTTTTTTTTATTTGCTTTATTATTTACAAAGGTTAGAGAGACTATGCTGACGGTGCGAACATCAGACTGAAACTGATTCCCAATTCTTATGTTTCACGATCATTCGAATTCTATTCAATTGAGGCACAGATTAAATTTAAATGTCTAGCCTGAATTGAGTGTAATACGAGCGTTCTGTGTATATTCTTCTTATGTTGCATTATGTTACATATGAAAGGAACACAAGGGAACGTATTTACTAATATCTTACGATAAAAATTAATAAGAACATGAACATGATTAAGTTTCTATAATATTCATCGTTTTTTGATGCAATAACCAATAAAAATAAATCAATTTTTTCAATATAAAAACAGAATATCAAAATGAATTTTTGATCAAAGATGATTCTGTTCAGACTAAACAAGAGTTCTTGTCAATGTGTTTTTTTTTTCTTGTATTGAAAAGAAAAGAAATAACACGCGATAAAGAAAACCATAGATCTATGTGTTGGCATAAATAATCTAGGATTATTGATCGACTTATATCAACTAAAGGACAGCACGTGAAACAACTTGAAAAAAGAAAATATTGAAATATTCTCTTCTAGAATTTTTTATTTGGTAACACAATATATTGAATGCCTGTCAATCTAACTATGTTTTTTAATAGATATCTTTAGTCTTGAAAAGCGTGTTTAAAAATATGTTCCATCTGTCCATTCGTATTTCTTTGTCTTGTTGTCTTTATTTATATAATTTATTATTCTATTTATTTATTTATTTTTCTCGAACAACAAATCTATGATTTTCTGTTTATATACAAAAATCGATGAGTTATTCATTGTATATATTTGATTTTTTTAATCATTCATCATTATTATCTATTGTTGTAAAAGTGTGATTGTTAACAAAAAAAAACTAAACAAATAAGATAGTCAAGATTAAAAGTTCAATTCTATAGTCTAATTCTATGAATAATAATAATAAATCAATAGAAAATAAACAAATTTACAATAACACGTAGAATGAGAAAAAAAAACATTCATTTATTTATCGTTTTGTTCGGTATTTCTATCAAAACTATCATTGTTCCAATTTTTAAAATAATTTGAAAAGAAATTGAAAAAAAATTGTTCTAAAAAGAAACAAAACTAAATAAAAATATAGATAAATAATAAGGGTTATAATTTTGCTGAAAGAAACCATAGTATGGTAAAGGTATGAGACTAAAAGCCTGGCCTCGAACAAAGAAAGTTATAACCATACATTATAATAGAAATATATATCATATATACGTAAAAAAAAACAAATTATAAAGAAAAAGAAATATAAAAATCTATCAAAAAGAATGTGAAAACTTTCTCAAAATGACTTTCATTGAATGTATACAGATGAGCCTCATACAATACGGTGAAACGAAATGCTTAGCAAGTTTTTTCATTTTTCAAAAATTCATTTTATTTCTTATCTATTGTTGTTGAATTTCTTGACAATGCACAGCGGTTCATTTTCAAACATTTGAGGACAACATGATTGTGTTTTTATATGAACATGTATAACCTATTGAATCCTGAATAGCCAACTTATTTTTCATATGTAATTTTATTGCTCATTTTTAAATACGAATATAAGTGGTCGTATAAAAAGAAAATAATATGTTACTCTCCAGTTTTATGAAAATATCCTACTATGCGTTAAGCTGTTACACAAAAGATAATAAAATGAGCTATATTAAGGCTACAAAAAAGAGAATTTTGAAAAGTCAAATACTGTAGATAGCAACCGAGATAAATTAATTTAGATGTTATTCATTGTTTGATTCACAACATTGAATTGTTTCATTTATCAACATAGCAAATGTAAGCTTGTCCGTTGAAATAGCTAACAAAATTTGTCATTGTAGTTGGTTTGTGTCATATATCCGACGTAAAAGTATCGGTTGAGCCTTTGTTAATGTATTCTTGTCTAAGCAAAAAAAATGTTATTAAAACTATTATCAACAATATAATGTATGATATCTGCGTCATTCTATTGTTTTCAAATCATTTAATTTTGATTATACGATCAATTTAGTAACAGGAGCTAGAACAATTGTTGTTGATAACCTGCTTTTTGGGTCTTAAAGCTCTAGTATCTCCCAGAAGTTATGAAGAAACCAGTTTGAGACGCTATATTTGTGCGTTTCGATGTGGATATTGATCTTCGCTTCATCAACTCACATCCACACATTCACATCAACACTACACGCACACACACCCCTGCCTTTCGGCTACCTTGCAGTATAGGGTGCTGTCCAAGGACAGTTTCGATAAGCCCGATGTTTTTCCTACATCTATTGCTAGATGTAGCTCTGGTCAGAAGGCCAGCCTGACGCAAAGTTCCTCCCGCTAATTAAGCTCCCCAACACACTGACTAACCACATACTAGTCGCAATGACTATTAGTGTATGTCAACCATGTAGTCAGTTTGTTATCGGATGGGTGGTCCGAGACAAATTAACCGTTAGTGACTTGTCCAAGGTCATTATATGACTGATGGAGCCGAGGTTCGAACACGATATCTTGTGGATATGTGTCAAACATCTTAACCATTCAACCATACCGGCTCGCACACACACACCCATCAAAATGTCGATGAAAAAGGTGTGGGTGTGTGTGGGTGTGGGTGTGTGGGTGTGGGTGGGTGTGGGTGGGTGTGGGTGGGGGTGTGGGTGTGGGTGTGGGGTGGGTGTGGGGTGGGTGTGGGTGTGGGCGTGTGGGTGTGGGTGTGGGTGTGGGTGTGGGTGGGTGTGGGTGTGGGTGTGGGTGAGACGCCAAATGGGTATCACACCTACACCCCACACCTACACCCACACCCGCGCCCACACCCACACCCACACCCGCACCCACACCCACACCCGCACCCACACCCGCACCCACACCCACACCCCACACCCACACCCCACACCCACACCCACCACCCACACCCACACACAGTTTTGGCTGTGGGTATGCGTGGATGTCGGTGTGGGTCTGAATGTCGGGTGTAGATGATCTACCACACTCCACACACCTACAGACACAGAGAGAACACGAAAAATAAAGTGAGGTATGAACGAAGATAGTCATCAGTGTGCATGAGCGCAGTAGGGTATTACATACGCGTATATTAACTACGATAGAACAAGTACTAACATTGACACATATGGCATTTGATTTGGCTTGTTAATTGGAAGTTTTGACACTAAAAACAAATATCTGATACGTTATCAGCGAATGATTTTGAATTAGACAATGAAGTATATATATACATTTTAATTTGGCTTGTTAGTTGGAAGTTTTAACATCAAAAACAAATATTTGATACGTTATCAGCGAATGATTTTGAATGAGACAATGAAGTATATATATATATACATTTTAATTTGGCTTGTTAGTTAGAAGTTTTTACAGGAAAAGTAAGTGTTTGATGCTTTCAGAAGAGATTTGAAAAATGATCCTCGCTAGTTTTTATAAACTATAAAAATGTTGGACTGTGTTTTTTTATGTTTATTGTTAAGAATTTGACAAGGCCTATACAATTGTAATTCATTGCTTGAAGATTGCCATTATGTCGATAGGTCGAATTCAGTCAAGTATTTTTATTATCTATCGAGCTCTTTACTGGTTTTGCACTTAATAAGTTTCAGATTTATGGTAGATTGCAGACAAATTCTAATATATAATTTCATTCGAATGCGATAAGATTTTTTTTTACAATGAATTCTGTAAAGGTTGCTCATAAATAATATAATCATTTAGTTGGGTTGTATTCTATTTATAATCAGATATCTATAAAGAAGCAGCAGTCTTCCTCACTCTCGATAGAAGTGCTTAATTGAGCTCGATACTTATTCTCAGAGTTGGACTTTCGAAATAACCTTTTTCTGTTTATACAAGTTTTATATGAACTATTCGAAGGGCGATAAATAAGAAAAAAACTAGTTGACAGAGCTCTTTATGAGTTAAATGTGAAAGTAAAATACATCCAACAGAATAGAATATTCAAGAAAACTAAAAACTAGCTCTTAGCATTTTTAGTGAAGAAGCAGAATCCGTTCAATTTGATCATAAAACTTATAATCATCGATTTCTGCAATAACCAATGTAACTTTCACAAAAACGATAAAGAATCATAAAGAATCAGTTTGCAGATGTTTTGTTGGATTCGTACATAAAAAAGAGTATTCTTGGTATCAGTTAGTCGAAATCATTGATACAGACTTCATCTAAATGCTAAAAGAATAATGCTCTAAAATTGAACACCTCATTTTAAAAAAATCTGGATGAATTAAATATCACATGTAAATTTAGAATTACTGTTAGATCTCTATTCTTTTATGTCCTATAGTTATTTTTACTG